ACATGGTGGTGGCCCCAGACAACATGGTGTTGGCGTAGGGATCCTGGCGAATGTCCACATCACATTTCGTGATGGAGATAAAGGTGGTTTCGTGGACGCCACAAGATTCCATGCCCAGGAAAGCTGGCTGGAAGAGGGCCTCAGGACAGCGGAACCGCTCACTGCCAGTGGTGATCGCCTGACCATCAGGCAGCTCGTAGATTTTTTTTTTTTTTTTTTGAGAGGTTTTTGCTATAGGGCACATGCGCTCACCAGACAGACAGAGAGAGACAGAGAGAGACAGAGAGACAGAAAGCAGGGGGGATGGCCACGCCGCAATCTGCTCTACTCCATTCTCTTCTTGGGATCTTGGGCACACACGCACACGCGACCGGCGTGAGTTTAAGCCACCGGGTCCAGGACTTGAACCGCGGTCAACTATGTGGGAGTCCAGTGACATAGCCATTATGCTAACTGCTGGTCCCTCGTAGCTCTTTTTTAGGGAGGAGCTGGAGGCTGTGGTGGCCATTTCCTGCTCAAAGTCTAGGGCAACATTGCACAGCTTGTCCTTGATGTCATGCACGATTTCCTGGTTGGCTCCGGTGAAGCTGTAGCCACACTCTAGGAGGATCTTCATGAGGTAGTCTGTCAGGTCCCAGCCAGCCAGGACCAGACGCAGGATGGCATGGGGGAGGGCATACCCCTCATAGATGGGCACAGTGTGGGTGACCCCGTCACTGGAGTTCATCATGATGCCAGTGGTACGGCCAGAGACATACATGACAGCACAGCCTGGAGGAAGTGTCGAAGGTCTCAAACATGATCTGGGGCATCTTCTCCTGGTTGGCCTGGGGACTCAGGGGAGCCTCGGTCAGCAGCACCGGATGCTCCTCGGGCTCTACACGCAGCTCATTGTGGAAGTGATGCCAGATCTTCTCCACGTCGTCCCAGTTGGTGATAATGCCAGGCTCGATGGGGTACGTCAGGGTCAGAACGCCTCTCTCTCTGGGCCTCATTGCCCATGTAGGAGTCCCCCTGGCCCATGCCCACCATGACAGTCTGGTACCGCGGGTGTCCCATGACAGAGGGGTATGGCCTGGGGGCCATCATCGTCAGCGAAACCGGCCATGCACATGCCGGAGGCGCTGCCAACAGTGAGTGCAGCAATGTTGTCATCCATGGCGAGCCGAGTGTAGGGTGTGGACTGGCAGCTGAGGAACGGTGAGGGCGAGAGTCCTGTGCTCGCGGTGAGGACGCCGTCTCAGCAGTCCAGTGTCCAAGTTCTCAGGAAATTTACATACAAGTACTGAGTTACAGATGACCACAACGTTTCCAACTTACTCTCAAAACTCCAAGGAAAAAAAATAGGAAGGAGAATAAGGAGGGAGTAGAAAGAAGGAAGGAAGGAAGGAGGAGAGTATATACTTCGGATCTTCAAAAGAAGGTCACGGAAAGTACATATTATGAAAAAACTATCGTGGATTTCTATAGGCTTTTTGCACCAAAATAAACTCGTACTTTAGTTCCAGTTTTCCATGACCTTTCGAAATCCCTTTGTATACAAAGGACAAATTATAAACAACTGGTGAATCTAGGTAAAGTGTACACAGAAATTCTTGTGCTATTCTTGCAACTTTTCTGTAAGATTTAAAAATACATCAAAATAGATAGTTTCCCCAAATAGACCGCTAACTGCCAAAAATATTTATGTTTAGGTGAAAAGCTAATAATAAAACATGAACTCAATGCATTACAAGAAATTCTTTCAGGAATATTGGTATCAAAATGATACTTTCCTGGGACCAGCAGTTAGCTTAATGGCTATGTTGCTGACTCCCACGTAGTCAACCGCGGTTCGAGTCCCAGACCCGGTGGCTTAAACTCATGCCGGACGCGTGTGCGTGCATGCCCAAGATCCCAAGAGGAGAATGGAAGAGAAGGGATTGCGGTGTGACCATCCACCCTGGGGGTGTGTGATTTTTCGCTTTCTGTCTGTCTCTCTCTGTCTGTCTGGTGAGTGCAGGTGCCCTATAGCAAAAAAAATAATAATAATAAAATAAAATCTCTCTCTCAAAAAAAAATACTTTCCCTCTGGTGGTAATTTTCCAATACTCTCGTTGGCTCTAAATTCCTTTTTAGAACTAAAAATTCCAACTCCTATAAGCTTAAAATAAGAGGATTTTTATGAAATTCCAGTGACAGATATCATTTCAGAAAGTTTCGCAAGTCAATAAACAGAAATTAGAATGAGAGGGGCTCTTTATCGCCCACCTCCCCCTGGATTCTTCAGTATTTTTTTCCTTATGATACAATGATTTACCAGGCAATATGCCAAGATAAGGTCAAACAGGATAAGGAAGGCTTTGTGGGTAGATGATTCAACCTGTGCCACAGAAGCAAAGAACTGTATTCTCCCGCACCTCAGGGCTACATAAAACAATCTTCACAAGGGCCAGCAGGTGGCATTACTAAGGTGCTGGACCCCCACCTGATCAGCGGCAGTTTTGAGTCCCAGACCCCGCAACTTGAAACTCACACATAGCACATGTGCATGCATGCCCCAAATCCCAAGGGAATGGAGAAAGGACTGGAATGCAGCCATCCCCCTGGGGGTGGTTTCTCGCTTTCATTCTGTCTCTCCAGTGAGTACATGCATCCTATGGCAAAGATCTCTCTTTAAAAAAAAATACATATATATATATTTTAATAAACAAGGTAATGAATAAGAGCATTACTACCCAGCGTAGCTTATTCTACCTCCTCGATCTTTCTGTCTGTATTTGTGGTTAAAAATCAAGCCACAAGCATGACCTTAGTCCTAAAAAGAAATCATGAAAAATTTTTAAAAAGGAAAAGAAAATACCAAGATACTGAAAACTACCAAAGGAAAACATTGCCTCATGAATGTCAAAGGAGACATTTTTAAAAGTCACTTTTTGCCTCTAGAAGACCCTTTGAAATAATCACTACAATATGACTCAGTATCCAAAGCATTATGCTAAGTATGTAGTTCGAAACATTCACATGCACAGAGACGAAAATGTAATTGGTGTTGTCATTTCAAAGATGAACGTTGGGTTTGCAGATAATAGAGACTGACATGCTCCTAAGCGAATAAAGGAGGTAGCTAAATAAACAAATGTTGTGTCTCTACTGTAAGGAAATATGGGGGGGGCGATGGAGGCAACCTTTTCAGCACAAAAGAAACTTAATACCCCGACCACATGAAAAGCGATCGCGATGGGAATAGCACAGCTGTTAAAACCCAAGTCAGTTTGTATTAAGTCCTCCAGCATGTTTATGTAAAACAGGACTCTCAGAATGACCACCAAGAGGAAATCATTTTGCTAACAACAACAAAAAAAGATACCTATATTTAATTGCATGGTTACAATGGGTGTGAAAGAAAGACATTCTCTTTGAAAGACTATAAGGGACCCCAGTCAGCTGGATGCTTGTGATTCTTTGACAAACAGTGTCTTGAGGGCTAATTGAATTAGAAATGGAATAAGAAAGAACGAGTGTTTGCATTTCAGTTAGGGAGCCCAATTATCTTGATTTCATTGACTAGCCAGCTCCACATAAAGCCCTAGGAAAACTTCTGGCTCCTGTGCCAAATGACTTCAATATGAAAATTAATACTGCCAAGTTATTTTGAGACCAATTAGCTCAGCCATTCAAAGGAGGAAAAAAAAAAAAAACTCCACTTACGAGCATGTGTAATCCTAAAACTTGCATTACTAAAGACAGACCTGCTTGTAGATACCCTTGAAGCCCTGTCTTGAGAGTATATAAGATACCTTCAAGAAACTACAGAAACAATGAGCTCACGGCTAACTATTGACAAAGGGTGAGTTTAAAATCACAAGGCAGTCATTCGGGATGCATAACGGTAAGACACAGGTTTAGCTCACTTTCGAAGCAAAAAGAAGATGACTCTAAGTTTGAGGACTTACATATAACCAACCCGATCTGTCAACATTGCCAAATCTGAATTACATTGTTCGAGAAACTGGTCAGGAGAGTGCTTCGTGTAAGGTCTGACCTAAGCAAAGTTTTCAAAGAAAGTTTGTCAACTCAAGAGTAGAGAGAATTTCCCTAGAATTCAGTTCCATCCAGGCTGCCAAATGTAGGCTTCACAGCAAAAAAAAAAAAAAAAAAAAAGAAAAAAAAAAAAAAAGAAAAGAAAGAAAGAAAGAAAAGAAAAGAAGAAGCCCCAAATTATAACGGAGAGACCTCACAGTTCGGGATTACTGGCCCACAACACTCTTTTTGCATGGCATTCCTACATAAAAATCTTTACTTACCAAGATTGTTTTTAAGAAGCTTGAGTTTTCAAAAGCCCAGGTCAAATCTCTGGGTGTTACAAGGTTTAAAGGGACTCTCAAGAGGAAATTGGCTATCACATACTATACACATATAAAAATAACCCAGACAGTATCTCAAAGCCTATTTAAAAGATGCCATCTCTACAGTTGAGATGTATCAGCCGGTTCCCATTACAATGGACAGCAAACCAGCTCTATTTTTAGAGCACAGGGAAAGATCAAAGATGAGGGGCCCTTTTTATTGGCTCCCCTTCCAGGCCCCTAATCTTTGTTTACTTTTTCTTTCCCATTATGTAGATTTCCAAAAGACACAGAGCACCAGGCCTACCCAGAGTCCCCCACTCTGAGTAATGCTTAAAATTTGCTCTAGGAGAGTCTAGGGGAGGAGGGAACTCTGTGAAGGAACACAGCACAGACCAGTAAAGTTCAAGTTCAAACTACCGTGATTACAGAAACACCTCAGTCTGCCTCTGTATACTGTACATCAAATTAAATCGGGCTGGTTTCTGTGTGAGAATGAATACGGATAGTAATGCACGAAAGATCACAAAATCCTTCCTGGTTGTTTAGACTCCACCTCTTCTCCACAAAAAGCTAGTGGTTTTGGTGGCTCGGGATGGTTAAGGCTGAGGTCAAATGCGGATGGGCTCCCTTTAAAGAAATACAAAGCATCTCAAATACAACATGACTTACTTTGGAAGAACAAGCTGTACATTTGTCGAACGCCAGGCTGACGGGAAGGACATTATCAAACCGCGACAGAAATCCCCGGATCTAAAAGCAAAAACAGTAAGCATCAAGCACGGAACGGACACAGCCATAAAGTACCTGCGTGGTTTCTGACAAGCAGGGAATGAGGAAGACGGTGGTCCCCACAGAGACGGTGGCTAACATAAAGCTGGACAGGAAGAAAGTTGAATTCTCCCTTGGACGGGGATCGGTTTGAGGAAGAACTGTATTATGTATTAGGTCCTTTATTCCATTAGGAACCAGGGCCTCCAAATTGTGTGAAATATTCAACACAGAAAAACAAATGAAATCCAGAACACGAAAGGCAAGCTGGAATATCTAGAATACTGTTTAACTGCATCTTCTTTATTCATGAGAGTTTGTACATACACGAGAGAGAAAGAGACAGACACCCTTCACGGGGCCTGGCATCCCACGATGCCTTCCCCCAGCCTACTGGCCCTTTGGAACTATCTCGCCATGTCGGGCCAGAGATTCGAACTCCATTCACCAGGAGAAATCTGGCCTCTCTTGGGCAGCAAATTACCACACTGCCACAAAGGGGTCCCAGTATTTTATAAACAAATGTTTAAAAATATAACAGGGAGAGGCCGACAGGTGGCATGGTAGGTAAGGCACCGGACTCCCACATGGTCAACTGCGGTTCGAGTCCTGGACCTAGTGACTGTCTCTCACTCTGTCCCTCTCTAGTCAAATTAAAACAAATAAATAAGTTAAATCAAATAATTCCTTTAAAAAAAAAAAAAAAAAAGGGGGGGGGAGCCAGCAGGGGGCATAGGGGTAAAGGTCCTGGACTCCCACATGGTCAATGGGGTTCGAGTCCCAGACCCAGTGGCTTCAAAATCACACCAGGCATGTATGCATGCATGCCCCAAATCCCAAGAGGAGAATGGAAGAGAAGGGACTGCAGCATGACTCTCCCCTCTGAGGGGTGACTTCTCGCTTTTCCCCCATCTCTGTCTCTCTCTGGTGAGTGTACGTGCCCTATGACAAAAACCTTAAAAAATTATACACACACACACACACACACACACATATATGTAAATAAACAAACAGTTCATCCAGTTTACTCTGGCTCAGCTGTCCAAGTTTCAGTACGTACTGGCTGAATCCGCATTTTTTGCAGTATGGCATTGGGTGGGGCCTCACAGGGGAAGGCGACTACGGAGGAAGGCAGAGATGATCCTAATACACACACCCAGTTATTGTCTCGATTTGGAACAGAGAGAACGGCAGGAAAGAAAGATCACGGAATTTCTGGGGAAACAGCACCACCTTGAGCATAAACGTCTAGACTGCGACTGACTGGCATTTCCAGAGGACCAGCTGTAACTGGGCTTCACAAACCAGGGCGTAGTGAAACTTAGAGCACTACCCACTAGAGCTAGACCTACACCGAAAGGCAAGTTTTCATCTGTTATATGATATCGGTAAACTCCCATTACTGAAAATAGGAATAGCCAAAAATCTCTAAAGTCTACCCAGGCCTCCACATTTGTACTGAGCCAGATGACACAAATCAACTCGGGAGTTCATTTATCTGATTTTTCCTTACTAACCCGTCTAAGCCGACAAAACTCAGGCTGACAAAGGAAAAGCAACTAGGCTCAGGTAACAGTAAGTGACAGCACTGAGATTCAAAAGGGGACCTCCTGCCTCCAAACCTGGCCTAGGCCCAGGCTTCTGGGCTGGGCTGCTCCTCCCCCCTCCCTCCCTCCCAGGGTGTCACAGCTTTGTCTTCAATATTGGGTCTCCTTAGGGCTGGCAGGTGGTGTGGTGGTTAAGGCGCTGGAACTCCCACATGACCCACCACAGTTCGAGTCCTGAACCTGGTGGCTTGCTTTCTCATTTCCTCTCTCTCTGGTCAAAATTAAAAAAAAATAGGGAACCAGCAGTTAGCATAATGGCTATGTCGCTGGACTCCCACGTAGTCGACTGCAGTTCGCGTCCCGGACCCGGTGGCTTAAACTCACGCCGGGCACGTGTGCATGCGTGCCCGAGATCCCGAGAGGAGAATGGAGGAGAAGGGATTGCGGCATGACCATCCCCCCTGGGGGTGATTTCTCACTTTCTGTCTCTCTTCCTCTCTCTGTCTGTCTGGCGAGCGCACGCGCCCTATAGCGAAAAAACTCTCCAAAAAAATTTTTTTTTTTTAAATAGTAATAAAATGAAATAATTCTTAAACCTAAAGAAACAAATATTAGGGAACCAGCAGTTGGTGTAATGGCTATGTCGCTGGACTCCCACGTAGTCGACCGTGGTTCAAGTCCCGTACCCGGTGGCTTAGAACTCACGCCGGGCACGTGTGCGTGCGTGCCCGAGATCCCGAGAGGAGAATGGAGGAGAAGGGATTGTGGCATGACCATCCCCCCTGGGGGGTGATTTCTCACTTTCTGTCTCTATGTCTCTGTCTATCTGTCTGGCGAGCGCACGCGCCCTATAGCGAAAACCTCTCAAAGAAAAAAAAAAAAGAAACAAATATTAGATTTCTTCATGATTATACTAGATTCACTTATTAGAACAAAAGAACGAACCCATGTGCCCTTCAACCATCCTACCAATACCCCTACTCCCCTCAAAACAAAAATGAAACCTGGACAGTTTAAAAAAAATTAAAAACAACATCAGACTAAGGAGATAGGTATTCCTGACAGGGCCACACCATGCTGTGATTCTCTGCCCCAACCTCCCAGGTAGCCAGGATTACAGACAGAGCGACCAAACCCATCTATTCAGGGTGAAATCTGGGCCTCCCACGTGGCCCCTGCCTGGAGCCATGGTACCCTACTGCTGTGCCCCTGCAGCTTGGCTTTGACAGACCCTTGAAGGCCAAGGCTCCCTTCCGAGTTTGGGTAACTCCATCTGCATGCCCACGCTGCAGCAGTCTAACGGCGGGCACATACTTACTGCTAGGAAACCCAACCCTGAAGGAAATGCCCAGAACAGTTTCGGAAACAGCCTTATCGAGAGGTCATGTGATTTCCATGTGACCCAAGACCAAAAGTGTTTGGTAGAAATAATTACTAAATTAGGGGCTCGGGGACCGTTAAGTGGAGTAGTAGTTAAGGTGCTGGATTCCCACGTGGTAAACATGGTTCGTTCGAGTCCTAAACCCAGAGACTTCAAAACTACTCTGGGTACATGTGCATGCAAGGCTAAAGACCTCAGAGGAGAATGAAGGAGAAGAGTCTGCAGTGTGGCCACCTCCCCAGGAGGGTGATTTCTCACTTTCCCTTTGTCTCTATTCTTCCCAACGAGTGCATGTGCTGCATGGAAAAACAAAAAAACATTTTTAAAAATAATGATTTAATTTTATTTAATATTATTATTATTTTTTAAATTTGACCAGAGAGAAAGAGGGGGAAAGTGAGAAAGCAAGCTGCCAGGTCTGGGACTCTAGCCGCAGTCGGCCATGTGGGAGTCCAGCACCTTAACCACCCTGCTACCTGCCAGCCCCAGGCAGAAAACTCTTTAAAAATGAGTTCAGCCACCGTGGCAGAGGCAGGAGCGTGCTGCTCTAGTGTTGGAAGCCACGTGACTGACCGTGGGTTTGATTCCCCGAGTTGACTGGCTGGAGAGCTGGAGGAAGGGGAATCATGAAGTGCCACGTCTCAGCGAAGGGTGCCTATCTCTCTCCGTGTGGGATTTAAAAAAAAAAGAAAAAAATAGGAGAAGTTAGATAGCCTCACTGGAAACCTTTGAGGATGGGACGACTTTTCAGTTCTCTGGATCTCAGGAATGTGGTGACCATTTCCTAACCCAGGGGTCCTAAGGCATCATCCGGGTCCTAGGTCGGTACTCAGGTCACGGAACCAGGAGGCATCAAAGGGCAGAAAACAACACGGTAAGCCATGGAGGGGGATGCTGGGCCCCTCCTGCTCAGCCCTCTGCAGGCCTGAAGGAATACTTGGGGCATGCTTCCTGTTCACCCCAATCATCTGCACGTTAACCTTACTCACAAAGAACTTCGTATTCAGCATATCTTCCCATTAAGATGGTCTGTAACATGGCCTACATGTTCAGGTCTCCACGTGAGTTTCATGGAGGTTCTCTCATCCTGTTTGCTCAGACAGCTTCTAGCAAGCGTTCTTCACGTTGGGCGAGGAATACGGGTCGTTTCTGCGCTCAACAGCTATGTGACAGCGGGTGATGGGGGTGAAGATGAGAAGGGATGGGACCAGCACTTGTAATGGCTATGTTGCTGGACTCCCATGTAGTCGACCGTGGTTTGTGTCTCGGATCCGGTGTCTTAAACTCACGCCGGGCGCGTGTGCGTGTGGGCCCAAGATCCCGAGAGAAGAATGGAGGAGAAGGGATTGCAGCGTGGCCATTCCCCCTGGGGGGTGATTTCTCGCTTTCTGTCTCCCTGTCTTTCTCTGTCTTTCTGGCGAGCGCACACACCCTATAGCAAAAACCTCTTTAAAAAAAAAAAAAAGATGAGAAGGGAAAGCACAGACTGGGTTAGGAGGAGAGAGAAAAACAAAAGCAACACCACATGCACAGGTGGTGAGGAGCAGAGGAGAAAGGGCCGGACGTGGTGAACGGCTTGGCCGAGTGAGGGCCAGCACGCCATTGTTCGGCATCCGCGGGCGGCTCTGGACTAGGAAACGGTGACTCATTTTCCCAGGAAATGAAGTAGAATAGTATCTGTGTGTGAGGGCTTGCAAAGTCGCCAAGTTGGCACCAGAAGGCCCAGAACTTACCCGAAGTAACTCCATGTTCAGATCATTTAAAAGAGGAAACGCTTCTTAACCCGATTATAATGGAGTCCTAGTGGGTACCCCCACAAATGGGCTCTGCCCCTGTCGTTGAGTGCAATCCTGCTGGGATGGAGTTTCCTTTTTTTGGAGAGGTTTTTGCTATAGGGTGTGTGCACTCCCCAGAAAGACAGACAGAGACAGAGAGACAGAAAGCGAGAAATTATCCCCCCAGGGCAGATGGCCACGCCACAATCTCTTCTCCTCCATTTTCCTCTCGGGATCTTGGGTACGCACGCACATGTGCCTGGCGTGAGTTTAAGCCAC